TCCTTTTGTGAAAAATGGCTCTATTATACTAATATTTTGCCTGTATATAGCTCATATCTCTCTACAGAGGATCAACTAGAATTTTTGAAAAATTCGCATTATGTTCAGAGTTACCACCTATTGAAATAATTATTCGCGTTTTTTTTAAATTACTTCCCTCTGTTGTCGTAAAATATAAATAAACCCACTTCTAAGTCATATATTTCAAAAATTCTAGTTGAGCCTCTGAACAGAGGTCTGAGCTATATACAGGTAAAATATTATTCTAATAGAAGCATTTTTCACAAAAGGAGAACATTTGGAATAAAGATTATTCTAAGCCAAAATTAAACAATTTTAAAACAATTTTATGAATAAATTCTACCCTAAGTGACTCTAAATATCATGAAAATTATCCATTTATGCGCTTTTGAAAATCACGGTTCCAAACGTAGTCTGATACCTTAACGAATTCCGCGATTTAACGAATTTTTCTCCTTTTCCGTTTAAAATGAAGGCAACCCCCTCCCCCTGTTTAACAAATAACAAGCCTTGAGATAAAGAATTATTTAAACAGTTTAAAAAATCTTTATTAGTTTGTGTTAAAAAAATTGCTATTTTTGTAATCATCTGATTTTTTTTTTGTAAGTAGCAACTTTCAATCGCAAAGGGCGCAGAGCGTTATGAGACTTAACAAGTACACATGAATCATGAGAGTAACCTACCGTGTTTGTTTTGTATAGGTCAGGAAACTCCTTCAAAATTCGAAAGCGGAAAAGCCCCAAAATGTTAAGGCGCCCTCCAAAATAGCTCCCAAGTAGTTTTGAATTCGTTATTCGGTCCCGATGAATTGGTTAAAGTATAATCTCGAATTAATCAACTTCGTTAAGAATCTCGAATAAAACCCGTTACATATTGTTTTATTTATTTAATGAACTTGTAGCTCTGTATATTTAAAAAGTTCAATTTTATTCTTCGTTTTCGATTCATTTAAATCGCATTTATTACTCTTTTTCATCCTATTCAGATATATATAATTTAAAAAAAAGCCAACTTTACTACGATGAAATGAAATGATCTTTAAATAACTTATTTGAATAGATTTACTTTTTTAGATGAAAATATGATGTATATAATGCAAACATATTATAGAGAATTTATACTACACATAATACTATAAAAATGAATACTTCATATTTTAACTTTTCCCCCCACACTTTTAAATTAACTAGCATCAGTCCCTACATTAAATATTCTAAGATTAAAAATCATTGAAACAAATAGCGCTAAATGTTATAGTTTATTGCTACTTATAATTATAATAGCATCATATAAATCACCAAAGATGTCTGTTTTGACAGATTAACATCATTGTGGGGAGAGATAAGAATTAATAGAAATAGGACGTGGTAGTAATTTTAAGAAAAACTTTATTCGGAAAAAATAAAATATGAAAAATAACTATACATATGGAGTGGCTTTTACAACCGAATCCTAACAAAATAATAATGTTACTTATTTTGTCCTCTTTAGTTGAAACCAACTTCAATTAAGCTCAACTTGAATGCGCTTCAGTACTGTCGTCACGTGAGTTAACTTACAACCTCTACTGCACCATTTCTCTCTTTTACGTTTAATACAGTGCTTCTCAAACTTTCAACATTTGTGACCCTATTTTCAGTCAAAATTTTCATCGCACCCCCCTCAAACAATAACAATGTATTATATTCAAAAATGTACTTTGACTAAAGCTATAATATAGCTCTATTATAAACCGTACAAATTATCAAGATAAGAATTAAATTTTGTTTACAGTTTGGTATACAACACGTCCACGGAAGTCGCTATTAATTATTAAGCTTTTTATAAGTTTAGTGTTGATAAATTAATTATCAAATACATTATGCAGTATTGATACATTTATAACTATATCAGCAGAAATGTATATTTTATTTTTTATTACGTCAGAATGTATTGTGTTTTACTTCCTTTAGCCTAGTTAATTAATAACTTTTAAATTAATAAAATAACGCCAAATAATTTTAATCACGTGGAGTTATCACTCCCTTCTCCCCCCTTCAGTTTGAGAGAAAAGCTGGTTTAATAACTTTAGAAATGTCATTCATTGTTTTGCTAATATTCTCTGGCGCTACGTGATATATTTCGATATATAATACTCGGTTATCTTCTTATTCACTCACCTATTTAGTGGGGTGCCGTAAGGTTAAACCTTGGAATCCAGGGCCAGTCAATGAATCTTTATATAAACTTTGGAAATGTGTTTTTAATAGTATATAGAAAAATGTTTAAAAAAATATTTTGTGCGATCTCAATTTTTTAATTATTATTATAAATAATTATTTATTTTTTGGAGTTTTCCTTCATTTATAATAGTTTAAAGTTATACTTTAAAAAGAAGAACCATTACAAACTTGATCTTGGGTCTCAAAGGACTGCAGGTATACCGATGAAGGGTGGGGAGGGGAATGGAGGGAACAACAGCAGCTGGTGGGTGTTGTTAACGCGGGCCCTAACAGAATAGTACACTTGGCAACAGCTAGGCTTAATTCGTAGCTGTTGTTGTTCATTCCGAAAAAAAATTAATTTTTCTGATTTTTGTTTATTTACAATTAATGTTTATATTATTTTGCAGTGTGAGTGTGATAAAAATTAATTATTGAACATTACTGAGTTTTACAAACTTTGAAAATAGTGGCATTTATATTACATGATTTTAAAACAATTATGAATACTCAATCGTATATTATATAATAAATCGATGTTATAAGTTAGAATGTAACAGTAAAAAAAATTCAATAATATAAATCATTAATTATGATATAAAGTTTAGTTATTAATGTTAGTAATATTTGTTGTTACAGCCTCGTATCAAAATGGGTGAACCATCGGATAGTGATAGTATAAGTAATGATTGCCTCATTTGCGCTAAAATCGGATGTAGTTCTGAATTAAGCTCTGAACTAGGATATATTTTAAAGGTCATTAGAGGAATATCAACACTGAAAACAGCTTCTGTGGAAAGAGCGGATGGACTTTCTCAGTATTTAAATACTCGCGAATTTGTCTATGTGCATTCAGTATGCAGACAAAAATATATCAATAAAGGATGCATTAATTCTTACTTAAAAAAAAGTGTGTGCGTACTTATGTAGACACGTAAGAAGTTACACTTCTTTGGCGTAACAAGATTAAAATCTTTCTAAAAATCTTTATCAGGGCAATCTGGGCCTCGGATGAAAGGCGATCACGAGCAGAGTTGAACCATACTAATCTTCAGTCAATCGGACCAGCCAAACCTAAAATTATCACGATTTCAATAAACTTAAATACCCCCGCACAACAGGGACAATAGGACCAATAACAGGGGGGGGGTAGCAGACTGTATCTGGAGATGAAGTGAACCGAATGTGACACCTGAGACCTCATATTGAATGTCTCGGTGGGAAGAATCGTTCCTGAAAAAATTAAGACATCCGCCTGAAAAGCCCCCGAGTTATGGTCATTTTAAAATAATTAAAACAAGTTTTAAAAATCAAATAGAAGCAGGTCACTATGGACCTTTATCCTTCTATTAGCTAAAATAACTCCCCGGCGTAAACAAGTTTTATCCAAAGTTTTATCCTTCTATCTCTGTAATATCGTTACGTCATAAAAAATCGAACTCCATAGGAATAACATGAGGATTCTAATTTTAGTGATAACGCCCCCCCAAGCCCACTATCTAAACACGAACTATAACATATGAAACAGTTCAACGAGGAGAACCTCTGGTCTGAGTTTCATTAACGTATCTCAAAAATCCCCAGAGTTATGCGGGATTTAAAAAAATTATAAATTTAAAATAATTTTAAAATGTTAAATATGGGTAAATAAATGGGGTTATGGTCTTGGAAAAATATATCTAGAATGCTCATAAGAATAATCGAATCTAGCCGGTGCGGTCGACCAAAGTGGCAAAGGATTCGAGTTATTTCTGGGGAAGCCCCGTAGAGGGGACGGGGCCAGCTCCCCCTAAAGCTCGCACTAATACAAAAATATGGCGAACCTCCAAAAATCAAGTTCCAAGCTCAATTCCTTAAGGGGGTGAAATTTTTTCCAGTCCCCATAGGATTAACATGACAGCATGATATTTTAGTGCTTAAGCCCTCCCCATGCCTACACAATGCGAATGAAGCAGATGACTGGATGGGTGTCGACGAGTGAAACACTTGGTTCTAATCTCAAGTCCGATACTCGAATAGGAGCCAATATATTGTGAATTTAAACAAATTTAAATAGTTTAAGAGAGTTAAAAACTATGCAAAAGAAATAGCCCTATGAGCATGAAATTAGAATAACTAGAAGAGCAGATAGAGATGGATCGAATGAGCCAGGTCCGAATGGACTGTGAGGCTCGGGTGCCGAGATAGTGGCCAAAAAGCTGTAGAGAGGGGGGATGCGTCCCAACAGATATGGATTATAACAATAGTTATTATGTTCTCCCAAATATCAGTCCCATAGCACCAAAAGAGTAGCATGTTAAAATATTTGACAACGGTGCGCGCGCGCATCCGTGACGGTGTGCGCGCCCTCACGCCAAAATTTACCCTCATCCTTTTTTCCCTAACGCCGAAAAAGAAGTATGACTTCTAAAATAAATATACGAATATAAAAGGCTCTTATCATTTGTTACAATGTAATAAATATGTTCATATTCATCGCAATGCGTTCGTACTCTAAATCATCTTAGCCATCTATAGTTCGTAGTCATCTATAATCATATACTTGCAATTGTTATTTTAATAGGTAAACTAATATTTACTCTTATGTTTTATGTGTACATAAAACACAACTTAAAGATTGATTTACTAATTTTTTTAAAAAAAATTCTTATAAGTATGTTTGGTTTAATAACAAAAAGTGTTCAAACAAATGCATCTGAGAAGCTCCGTAGGCGAAGGACGATCTCTGCCTACTAGTAGTGACGTCACAAATAAGCGCAAAGCAAAGGTTCGCAGACACGGGGTATAGCTCAGTGGAAGAGCATTCGAATGTTAATCGAGAGGTCCCCGGTTCAAACCAGGGTGCCCCCTTCTTCAGGGAAGTAAAGAGAAATAGTTTTTGAGAATTTCGAAGGCGGGAATGATCTGTCCCGTTCTGTATATTTCTAGACAAAGCATTTTCGCATACGTTCCTACGGAACGCAAAGAAAAAGTTACCTCAGTGGTAGAGTATTCAACTGCAGACCAAGAGGTGCCCGATTCAAACCAGGATGCCCCTATCTTCAGGGAAGTGAAGAAAAGTATTTTCTTGAAATTTTCGAAGGCGGTGATGATCTCTCCCATTCTGTATATTTCTAGACAAAGCATTTTCGTATTCGTTCCTACGGAACGCAAAGCAAAGGCTTTCTGACGCTGCTGTATAGCTCAGTGGTAAAGCATTCGACTGCAGGTCGAGCGGTCTGCAGTTCAAACCCGGTTGTCCCCTTCTCCAGGGAAGTGAAGAGAAAAATGCTCCTGATAATTTCGAAAGCGGGAATGATTTGTCATTTTCTGTATATTTCTAGACAAAGCGTTTTCGCATCCGTGACGGTGCGCACGTGCATCGTAAAAATGTACCCTCATCCTATTTCTCTAACGCCCAAAAGAAGTATAACCAAAAGGAACACCACATTAACATGCTCTCCACCTAAGAAAAAACTTCAATCGGCTACTTCAATTGATTTTAATTGGAAAAGTAGGGGCTTTTTATGTGAAAAGAAAGCGGATGAAATGAAGGAAAGAAGAAAGTCCAAATCATCAAGAGAGAGACAAAAATCAGCTATGTCACTACTTCTGATTTTAAGAAAACTATTTTAAATTTGATAAGTGAAGAGAAAAGTGAATATTGTCACAATATTCGCAAGAGCTAAAAGAACTACATGACTTATGGATTAGCTCCTTATCTTCTTGCTCTCTTTGAAGATGGTGAAATACGAAAAAAATATATATAACTAAATTCACATTTTATGACCTATTTCCAGAAGTATCAGTGGATGTGAACGATGTCCGAAAATTTTCCTACGTAATAGATGGAGGGATGTTACTAGTAGTAATTAGTTGCAAGTGGCAATTAGATGAAAATTTCGGTACCATTTGTCAACATTATATCTGATATCTACATAACAGTTATGGAAACAACATTTATGTCATATTTTATGGCTATAAGAAGACCTGCACAAAATCGATGGAACGAACGTGTCGCTCTAAAAAAATGCATGTAAAGGCTTAATATTTGATAAAACCATGCCTTTAAAATTAGCGTCGAATTTTAGGAGAAATTTTTATCGAAAGCCAAAAATAAGAGCAGGCTCATATATATGCTACGAGAAACCCTCTCAGCAAATTAAATAATTTTTTTGCCAAGCAAAAGCTAATGCCGACAGACTAATAATTGAAACTGCTGTTAATCTGCAATCTGAAAACATTGCTGTAGTGTCCAAAGTTGTAGATGTTTTAGTTTTATTAACTACGCTCTCACCAACAGACAGGGAAATTTATTTTCGAAAACCAACCAAAGGCAAAATACCGCAAAAAACGTACTATTCTAAGAGCTTAGAAAAATAATACCAAAGTGTAAAGAGAATATTCTGTTCTTACATGCATTCACTGGCTGTGACACGACGTCAGCTTTTTTCCAGCGTGGCAAAAACGTGTTTGCAAAAAATTTTGAAAGACGAACAGACTTGCAAAATGCTGCGACAGTTTTTAAAAATGAATGAAAAAATATCGATGAAATTTATAAGGCTGGTTTTATATGCACTCTTGCTTTATACGGTCCCCCCCAAAAAAAAATAAAAGATCTTAATGTGTTAAGATATAACTCTTTTTGGAAAGCAACTGCTAAAAATACCTGCGTTAAACTGCCGTCTTTACCACCTACTGCAGATGCTGCTTTTGAACACTTTAAAAGAGTATTTTTACAAATTCAAACATGGCTTGGCAGAGAAATATCGCCAGAAGAATAGGGTTGGAAATATGAATGCGGAATATTGATACCGCAAACAATGACGCAGCGACCAGCTCCAGAATCTTTACTAAAAATTATTTTTTGCGCCTGCAAAACAGGATGTGGAGCATCTTGCGGGTGCAGGAAAAGTGGATTAAACTGAACTGCAGAGCTTGCTTAGAATGCAATGGGGACAGCTGTACTAATCCTTCACCTACAATCTACATCAACGAGGTCGACGACGACGACAATAATGAACAATAATGTAATAATGTATATAGTTAATGATGATTTTTTTGTAAATCAATATTTTTTGCGAAAATCTAAAAAATTAACATTGAATTTACTCTGCAAACATAATTTATTACATATAAAATTAAATTTTTACTTTAACTCTTTTCCCCCTTTCCGCCTCTCGTTTTTCAGTAAATTGTTGTTAAAAAACGTTGTAATCGAGATCGGCCAAATTTTTTAAACTTTTTAATTTGAGGTTTTAATAATGCAGTCAAACACTTGCTATTCAGATTCATTGACTGGCCCTGGGTACCGAGATATTACCATTTTTATGCTTACGGCACTTTACTAATTAGATAACTGGCTTTGGATATATCCGAAAATATTTTAAGCCACACACACACAAGGATTTAATATTTCTATTAAATATAGATTGTTTTATGAGGACTTCTTCTTATTCATAACTAACCATTACCCAATCGCTTCATTGAGTATTTCATGATAATGTATGACTATATATATATAGTTTTAAGTTATTAATATCTCTTACTGTTTATGCCACCTAACTGACGGTGTCAGATAGAGGTCCATGAAATTTATCGAATCAGAGGTCATCTAGCCCTTCGTTTCGATAAATTTTTGTTGTCAGCCGTAGCTTTGAGCATCATACAGGGGAAAGTATGATTTGGATCAGTTCCATTCCAATTTTGAGGGAGAACACCCAGGAGATGGTCAGGGACCTCTTTGCCTTCCACGAGCTCATGAAAGGACATGTGGCTCAACAGCAATTTAGTGTGCCCCTATGCCGCACAGGAATTATACATTTACAAACATCCATCTATCTGAGATTTGAACCTAGACCCTAAGACACATGAATAAGTGTCACTAACCGCTATACCTGACGGGAGGTCTAATTAATATTTAAGCATAGCATTAGGCTTTTGATTGTATTTACAGCAAAGCCCGTTCATTGCACATCTCCACATAACAAAAGAAACTTGCTCGCCAAATTTCAAATCAGTAGGTATAACAAATCAACAAAAGGAACTTTTATCTGTAACCCCCCGGAGTGGAAGTTAGAAAAATCTGTTTTGAAGCGTAACCAAAGCAAAAGATGTCGCCAAATGCAGTAATCATCTACTAAACATGAGCGGGAACGGGTTTCTACTATGGACTGCCCATTATGGCATTTGGTGACTTTCCACAAACTCTTCCCTGAACAATGAGAATTTTAGACAAAAATTCAATAAAAACTTTTTTTTTTTGGAAATAAGATTTACGGCTCTTTCGAGACAGGAGCCTAGCTCCCTACAATATGTTGGAACTATGTGGTCAATGGTGTGGATTTTATACGTACCAAACAACTACATAAAAATTCAAATTATATTTAAGATTAAGCTTTTCTGTGAATTCACAGAAATAAAATTCTTAGGACCAAAAAGAAACAAGTATAAAACTTAAATATTGAAAATTATTTGAAAAAAAAACTATTTTCGGTTAACAATGATTAAGGTAAAATATTTAACAGAATGTATTCGTAAATTATAGATGATATTTTCATTCTAAGTATCACTTAAAAAAATTTTTTTTTTGAGTGGATACCATCTCACGCGAATCTAAAATATAATGGCATTGCAGATCAGCTGGCTAAGGATTACACTACAATCTCTCAGATAAATGAGGATATTTTGATCTGCTTCGAATTTTACTCAAAAAGAATGGTTTCTATAGATATTACTTGGAGGCAACCACCACAGCACACACGATGTCGGAGTGAAAGTCCCGTCAATGCTAAAAAATTTGACGGGAACAGAAAAGACCAAACTGATTTGGCACATTTAGCTTCCAGCCATTTAAGGTCTTTCTGATACTCAGGTTGTTTCAAAAAGTTCTTGATGTGTACAAAGTGCAATGCGTGCGAAGCCACTCCTCACCATGTGCTCAGTTGTGTTGCCTACACGCAAGATGAACAGTTCAAATGACACGATATAGTGTTGGGGATGCCGAAGGTGAACAAATTCATTGATATAATCTGATTCAAATTAGAAGGATAAGAAAATAGGAGAAAAAATATTTTAGTAAAACAATCCTTTTTATCACAGTACGATGCGATATTAATTTTAAAAAATCAAATCAAATTCACAGTGCAAGGGTAAAAAGCATCGATTAGTATTTTCTTTTATGAGAGCAAAGACTATTTTACTCATACATTGTATAGCATAGACTACTAAAGGATTCGATTTGTCACGATAAGGGAACATCAAAACACCACAATACACAACACATAATAAACATATCGATGAAACGCACACACACAACAGTGATAATTTTAGAAAGCGGATGGAAAAAACAAGAATTATGTAATTGTATAGCTAAGATTATCAAATATCTTCATTTGGCATCAATAAATATTTTTGTACTCTCAAGTAGCACAACAGTGTTTTCCGTATCACGTGTATTTTGCTCCTTTGATTCTTCTCTCAATTCCAGGCAGTATGAATGACAAGTAAATACTTAAGATGCCTATTGAAATGGCTTTATAATTCATTCATATATTTTGTATTTAGTTTTATCATAAAATACCGTTTTTTTCTTATGTTGTTGAAATAAAATAATTTTCTTTCTGCAATAAACCACTTTTCAAACAAGATTGTTCAATACATTCAAACTTGTTTTCTTGTAGACTACATAATAAATCGCAGTGTTTTTTTCCAGGTATAGAAGTTTAAGTTGGCATTACTCTCCAAGATGGCGACCGATTTAACAGCTGTCAATGTAACTTTTGATTTATTCTCAGTTTGGTTTGGCAATTCATCAAAACAATCATCAGGCAAGGCGTAGATTCGTCGAATGGGCCCAAAACGAGATTGCC